GCCGCGGACCACGTGGCACGGGCGAGAAAATGGCCGCGGACCACGTGGCACGGGCAGAAAATGGCCGCGGACCACGTGGCACGGGCGGAAAATGGCTCGTACCCCGAGGCGGAGTTCGCAAACCGAGGTAAAATTTTGGGGCCAGAGCTGGTCGTAACCCGAAAAATTCGCAAGCAGAGGCGTTCGTATCCCGAGGTATCACTGTATATATATACAGACACATACATACAGACACAGACAGACATATGGCAAAGCACTTAGTTTCTGTTTCTCTTTCTCATGCTCTTTCAATGTAAACAGAGAATGCCTGCCTCTTTTAAGAAGGTGGGCCAGCTTGCACCTGAAGATTATTTACCAAATGCCTACTAGCCTCTTTATCAATGTGAGAACCAGCTCTTACACAAATGTGGAAGGGTCCTTGTCAGATAGATTGATGTGGAATTATCCCAGAAAGGTGCTTTGGGGTGCGGTTTTGTTTGTTTGTTTGGTGTCTTTGAGTTTATCTTGACTCCTAACAACTACATGGACGTATCCATGCAGTTTTCTCTGGCAATGTTACAGAAGTGATTTGTCATTGCCTTCTTCTAGGATGTTTTTCAACTTTCCAGTCTAGGTAATAGAGAATGACTTATCCAAAATCACTCATTCAACTTCCATGGCTAAGGGAGAATTAGAACCTGGGTCTTTCCACATGTAGTGCAGCCAACCACTACACCACATTGGCTCTCATCCTAGAAAGCAGATAGTTTGAAAACTGCCAAACTTCAAGTATTTGTAATAAATATGCTTACTTCAGTATTCATCAACTCCATACATCAATATAAAGTTATTATAGAAATTAACCTTTTCACAAATACATTTGTATATATACATTAGAGACATATACACTAAAGGATCTTGTTTAAAGCATCTCTGTCTAATCTGCACTTGATTGCATCCAGTGAAGGGAACCTACTACTTCTCTGAGTAGTTAGTTCCACTATCAAACTCTACTGGACCATTCTTGGAATAGCTGAATCAGCAGGATTCGGAAGATAAACAAAACATTGTGTTCTCCATAACATGAATTTTGCAGGCTGGTATAAATGTCTATGGATTCCTTTAATAATTTGGCAGAGACTATTGCTTATGTTGATTGTGAGTCCAGTGTAAGCATATTGTTTTAGAGTGGGATGGTATTGAGATTAAATGTCTTTGTCCAGATTGTAACTAGGCATAACTATATAGATGTATTCCACAATAATAATAAATAATTGGCTTAATATAATTGTATTAGGTATATTCCAGTTTCCATTTGTGCTTCAAAAAGCCAGCAAACTGAAAATTAAACAGCTACTAACTATGCAATATAGGCTTTCAAATTTTGCTGAACTTCATGTGCTATTATGAATAATATAATATTCACAAGTTGCATTAGTATTGCAAGTCAAGTTCAGATAGGAAGGGCTGATCTAAGCAGATATGGAAGAGGTGCAACTACCCCTATCGCTTAATAGAGAAGAAATTGAAGAATGAGTGAAAATTGGAATGAGCTTTGTACTATTATCTTAAAGCAGGAATTCCCCTGCTTTATAAAGCAGTAGCTGTAATGGCAGTAGTTTATAAAATAAATGTAGAGGAGTTTTCACAAGTTATTCTAAGGTAACATTGGGGTTTGTAGGTACCATTGGCTCCCTTATTTGCTTGTTCTTTGGATTGCTTGGAGTTCAGTTTCCCAATTCAAGGCAGGGAACAGAATGAGGCAATCAATACTTGCTCCAGTAAAGCAATATGAGCATGCAAAAATCATTGAGTTGGTGCCTCCTGGGTTATAGCAGCTTTTGAAGTAACAAAAATCCCTTCATCCTGCTCCACACAAAAAGGGACAAAATAAATTGTAAGCTCCAACTCCCCCCTCCCCCCTTGTTTTTATAAGATCTGAGCTCTTAGTAGGAGGGTAGACCTGTCTGGCTATCAAGACCTCTTTCTTCCAGTGTATATATTCCATATGAAAGTAGTAATGATGGCATGATACCATAGTTTGGCAGCCAGATACTTTACCCTACAACTGCAACAGTGGTTATTCAGCTTCTGTTTGGGGGGGTGGGGAAGGAAAGGGAGGATAATGGCTCACTTGAGTCCAGATCCTGGATGCAGAGCAGAAGTAAGCTGTTAACATGGGTGTCTGCAGGATGGGGTCAAAATCTGCACGGTGATACAGACATTGTTACAATTGAACCCCCAGCCTTTTTTTGATAAGGGGCAGGGCTGTGAATTTGACAACATGCCTGCCATCTTGCAAATTTTGCCCTCCACACCAGTTACTGTTACATATGTAGAGAAAATCAGACTAGGCAGATTTTTGCTGCGATTGTGAAACTGACAAAAATTGACAAGAAGTATTAAATGGGATCTTCTGCTAAATATATGTCCATATATATCCACCAATAGCCCAGTAAAAGACTATCTTTTTTGTGGGTGTGTTTTAGAACTTGAAATGACAATATATATAAATATACAAGTTATTTCTGAGTTGTGTTTTTTGAACAATAGCTCCCTCCTCACCTACTTGTATGACCACCTATTTTAAAACAAAGAAGTTTAAGGATAGTTTGTGATACAGCTGTTTCAAAAGAGGAACATTTAGTTTCCTTGGAACGTGTCTCAATCTTTGGAAAGCGTGAAGCAGATCTCTAACTCCCATTCACAAATATCACTTGTTTAGATGAAGGGATGAACAAGAATGCAAAATTACTTAAGGCTGCGGGTTTCCCATGCCCTGTGTTACTCCAGTTCTGTATTGGGAAGAATAACTTAATATATATTGGCGGCCCTTCTTATGTCATGCCAGTGGTGATGCTGGTTGGAAATTATAATATAACATACAGTATCTTGAGACTATCAGTTTGAGAAAGCCTGCATCATGGGGCTAGTGTGATTTTGAAAAAGCAGTTAGTGATTTGCCAAGAGGATCTTTCCAAAGCAAAATGCTTGCCATAAGGACAGTCTTCATAAGTATATTCACAACTAATCTGTGTCCTATGTTTTGTTAAAAAAAACATATCACAGGTACAAACCATGTGCTTTTATCATAATGTGACCTTTACTGTTTCAAGAACACCTTTTTGTTCCACAGTGTCTTTATCAATTAAGCCCCAGGTATATGTGGTTGTATTTCCCATCCCTCTTCATTTCTTGGTGGGTAAATATAAAGGGGTTCAGCAGCATCTGTAACTTTCCATTTTAATAGCATCTTGCTTAATATTTAAAGGGGAAAAATAATCAACATTTGGCATTCAGGTGATTAGCTGGGTTGTTTGAACAGCAGGAGTTCAGAACATATCCTTCAGCAGAAAAAAAATCCAATTAGATTTCCAATTAATATGCAACCTGTTGTCTCATAGCTGTTAGCCCCTCCTGGAGAATTGATTTTGGACCACAAAGAAGGAAGATTTCCCTCAATCCCTCAGTTCGCCTCAAAGCAGATAAACTAGAGATGGTAAATATCTCCTTATTTTAATTTTTGTTCTTATGTAATTTGATAACAGAGCTTTCAGAACTCACATTTGATGTTACTTCAAAATAAAATCACTGTTCCACTTGGGTCAATTATTAATTCATCAGGCTTATAAATTATGCTGCATCTATATTGATATGTGGTAAAATGATTTAGTCAAGATTGAAATGATCTACCTGTATCAATATGTTTAGGAATTTGATGCTCCAGTTGAAGCTGTGATTTTATTTGCTAGCTTTAGAAATGCTTAATGTTTATTTGTTGTTTTGCGAACAATATAGGATGTTGATTTATTCATTCTGCCCAACCTTGCCCCCTCCACCAAACAGCTGGAAGTAAGTCACGAGTGACTTAGAGTGACCCTGCATGTTTTCTTTTGGCATTCCAGCTGTAGCAGCTGTTATTTTTGAAGAGGCAAGCCATTTCTTAAAGTTTAGGTTGCCTTTTCAGAATAAGAAGCTCATGCAGCAAATGTTCCAAAGAAAGTTCTAGTCATGCCTGCAGAAGCCATATTGTATAGGGTGCCATCTGCAAATTTTGACGTACGGGTTGAACCTAAAGGGCCATGTGTGGTTTTCCATTCATTCAAGTTTTGTTTGTTCTTACCTAACCAACATGTTTCCAGTTATCTTTAGCAGGAGGGCCAGGTAAAGCTCACGGCATCAAACATGCTGTCCTTTTTAGTCAAGGCAGAAAAAGAAATTGTCCAAGATCATAAGAGCTGTCTGAATCAAGCCAAGAGCTTGTATTAGTTCTGCATTTTCTTTCGTTATCACTGCATTTATACCTTATATATAATGGATGTATACATCTCACCTTTCTCTTGGAACTAAGGATAGTATATATAGAGGTTTTGCCTAATTTTATCCTCACAACAATTATCTTGCGAGATAGATTTTGCTGAAAGAGAAAAATTGACCCCAAATCACTCAGTAAAATGGGGGCATGAACCTGGGTTTTCCCAGTCCTTGTCCAGCATTCTAAATGCTACACCACACTGGCTGTTTCCACAATGCCTCCCTGATTTCATCACCCAACTCAAGCGCATCCTGAGCATTTTGGCCAAAGAGATTATAGCATGTTCTGCAAACTAAGATATTTTGAGAGGTTTGATATAATCAAGTTCTGTGGAGAACTCTACAACCTTTCTCATTTCTGTCCAGATATGACTACTGTATATGTTTCTGACTCTCCATGCCATCAAATTTCCATTGTTTCCTCTGCATCTATATACTCCAGCTCATACACTTTGGCTCAAACTTCTGGCATTTGGCATTTACTCAGGAAGAGCTGTACATAGTATCCCTTTTCCCCATGTGTGCATTTTCCCTGTAGTTTTTTGGCCTATTTGTTTATTTATTTTATCCAGCTTACATGCTGCCCAACTCCAGACTGACTGTAGGTGGCTTTTTTGGATAATGATAATGTTTTATACTTATTTCTACTCTTTCTCCTTTTGAACATGCCAGGGTACCTTTAATCTTCATTAGAGAGAGATGATTCTTCCTTGGACCAGATGCTCACCAATTTCAGTCATGCTTTTCTGAATTCACTTGAAATGACATTGTGCCACAGATTAATTTTAGTGCTAACATTCTGGTTCTATTCTGGTTCCATTCTGGTAGTCTATTTTGTAAAGTCCAGGTTTGTTAGAAAATGTTCCCTAATACCTAAAAAATCTAAATTCTTTGTCTTTAGCATCACCATCCAATTCACTTCAACCAGCCCTAGCTATCCTGTGCACAAAACAGATAGCCTTTCAGAAAACAATATTTTTGTCTTTCAAACTTCCCAGCAACCTAAATACAATTTATTTCAATTATGACAAAATTTCTTTGGCTCTCAGCTCCAGTTATCAATGGCTTGGAGCAGTTTGGGACTACAATGTGTCCTGCTTGACCAGATTGCCAAATAAATCAGTGTCAACAAGACTGGATTCAAGACTTCACAAAGAAAGGGAAAACTAACACACAGGGGAGTTCCCATCTTAGTATAGCTGAAGAAAAAGGCTAGATCTTTGAAGGCAGAGGCAGTGCTGAAACAGCTGCAAAATGTTCATTGTGGAAGTGAATTATCTGCGAATCTTTTGCCAACCTGTAGCTTCCAGGATTCTTCTGCCTAGAGGTTAGCACAAGATGTGCCTCTTTATAGCATCTTAGTTCTCCAGAATTTCTGAGAGATTATTCTAGGTTGAGACCATATCAACGAGTTTGCTAATTCTTTAGCATGAAAATAATTTGACTCTGAAGTTTTCAATTCCCTTAAGATAGTTACACATTTCCTGATCAGCTTCTCAGATTTGAATCCTCAGTCGCTCCACTCATGTTACATTCATGAGTCTGCATGCATTTAACTTTGGAGTTGACAAGGGTGGAATAGGAGGTTACCCATTCTTCCTTCATGCTGTTGTGTCACCATTCTTTCTTACATTCTTGCTTCAAGCATATCTGAAAAAGGTATTTTTGTTGCTGTATACCTTGCCATTCTCAGCTTGTTCTGAATCCTAGCTTTTCTGAGTTTGTTTACCTATCCTTTCTTCCATGTACTTGTTTTCTGATCCTCATTAAGCTTTTTGTTTGATGTCAGTTTTTTTCAACTTCCCAGTCTAGCCCACAGCCCTGATAATTGCTGGTCTTCCATTCAGTTCTAAGCCAAACTCTGCTTAGTTTCCAAGTCCAAACAAGGTCAGTCTGGTAATGCCACCTGCTGAGATAGGCTTCTTTTAGATGTTAGTATCTTTATATTTAATTATACTAAAGCATTTAATTTCATTTTTCAACTGAAAAGGCTCCTGGATAAATTTACAAAAATTAACAAAGCAGCCCTTGCCCTCAGACTTGTGAATTAAAACAATATGGCACAAAATGAAAATGAATTGGTCAAGAGGAGAAAAAAAGTTCTCAGAAGTATTCTTTCCCACAGGAAAGATTAAAGCAAATTCCCTGAAGCTGCTCCCTATATGACTGAAATATGGAATGACTTTGGTCTTTCTTTTGCAAAATGTTCTTGGAGTGCAAAGGGTGGAGACACACAGTAGCCATTGATCCTCAGACTAATGGATCAGCAGAAGCTGAAGTCTCAGGATAATCTCTTCTTTGAGCTGAATGTTTTTTTTCTGGAAAAAAGAGGAAAATCAAGCTCCTTGCAGTTTTTTCTTCTCTGGCCAGTAGAATCCAACCTAGCAGTTCTCCAAGCTTGCTAAAATCTAAATAGCACATCTGACTATAGTCATCTTTAGATTTTTCATAAGATCATGGGATTCTAGCAGTTCCAGTTATTCCCCCACCTTCAAATTCCTGATACTTTAATATCATTGACCAATGCTTCCTTTTTGTCTAGAATCAAGTCAAATATAGTCAGTGCCATTCTTCCTTTATACATTTTTCAAAGAGTTGGTTGTCAGAAACATATAACAAGAATTTCTTGGAGATCCCATACTTTGTCAATGAATGAATGAATGAATGAATGATTTTTTTTTTATTACAATCACTGATGCATTCATAAAAGAAGAAATAGTAAACAAAACTCACAAGACTAAATAATTATAAAACCAAGGTCAAATTACAAATTATTTTACAAATAATAAAGCAAAATTTATCCACATTGAGAAAAATGAAATCACATTGGCCAGACAATAATGATTGTGAGTAGAATGAATCCAGGTAGCCTAAAAACCACGAACTTCAATTTCTCATGTGTCCTATTCTAGGATGAGACAAAAATCAATTAAAATCAGGAGGCCAAGATCATGGGATGGAAAAGTAGCTTTAGCCAGTATGAGGGGAAGCATATCCAAATATGTGCCTCAATATTGGTCATGCTGGCCTTGAAGTGCAAATCTATATTACACTGTGGAACTTAAAATATGTTCCTTAAAAATTTAGATTGCACCCTTTCCAAGAGAGTGAAGGAGCTATATGGTCGCAATTGGCCTCTGAACAGAAGTTGTACCTGGACTCTGCCGAAAATATTTTCAGCACATCAGATATGAATAATGCACCTCCAGAATAATAGAAAGATTGCAGGATCATCATTTCTGTGTAATTTGAACAATATACTCCATATGCGCCCTGCGTTTACCAGTAGCATAAAACATTATCCCTGACTACTTGAAGATTTTAACCTGTTCAACTGAGTACCTATCCATATTTAGTCAAATTTTCCTCTTGATATTTGAAATGTTCCCATTACTCCTTATGCTTGCTTCCTTGAAATATCTACAATTTGAGAACAAAATCCTTGGTTCTCAGTAGCATAACCTTTTTCCCCCTCTAAGCATTTTTATCAAAATACTTTCATCACAGATGTGCTGTTTGCCTTTATTCACAGATGTTTTTCAAGATTATTGACCAAGAGGAATTTGTTTTTATTATACTTCTTTCCTTTTCACCTTTCAATATTGACAGAAGAAAAAAAAACTTGGGAATTGCAAGGCCCATTCATTTTAAGACTTCTTATTTTTGTATATGATATCACCCATGCTTGAAAAATTGCTTTTAGAATTTGTTCTCCCTTTTGTCCTTTTAGAAAGTATAATGTTGACTCAGATTGCATAAGCTGCCTTTAAAAAATGCCCCTCTTAAATCTATGTTTATATGTGGGAAAGCAGTTGGTAAATGGCTCTTATATATAATTTGTAAATGGGCTTTATTCATGTGCTTATGCCAAAGAAGACTACAATCTTCTTGGGCTTGCTGCTCTGAATTTTTCATCAATTTCAGTCAGAACCTGCTGAAAAGAATGGGGTTATAGAGCAGCTTGGGTTTGATTGAATCTGAAAGTTGATATATCTATCTATCTATCTATCTATCTATCTATCTATCTATCTATCTATCTATCTATCTATCTATCTATCTGCAGACAGTATGAGAACATTACACAGTGAGAACAATTTCTTCACATAAAAAGGTGCACTTAACAGTACCATTTCAGTCTAAACTGAACTTTCTGTTTGTGAAAGATAGAGCTACCATACAGGTCTTGTTTATAACCCAGAGCTACAAAGCAAAGTCTAATGCCCCTTTTAGATTAGAAAACCTGAACTCTCCTCACTTTCAGCCTTTTTCTTTCATTTCTTTCATTTTTTTTTTCTTGTCTAGGCTCTGAAGTATCTTGGGATTCAGCCTACAGAAGAACAGCAAGAAATCCTAAGGCAACAGCTAGCAAAGGATTCTAAAGGAACAGTCTGTTTTGGAGGTAATTAACTGAAGGGACCTTTAAGAAAATGTAACAGAGATTTCAGAATACCTCTTCTGCATAAAACTCTTTCTGACAGAAATCACTAAACATGCTTTAGGGTTGACTGAATATTCTGTAAGGCATTGCATGAAGCACCTATGTATAATGTGAAGGTTTGCATTCCTATTTCAAAGGTGTTCTTCTTTGTTAACCAACATATTTCTTACCTGCACAGCTAGCAGGATTAACTTACAAGTTAAAACACTTCTTAGGCAGCTTTATTCCAGTATACTTAAGAAAAAGAATACATGTGCAGAATAACTTAAAAGGTATGGGAGGGTTAGTGGGTCATTTTTGCAGATGATAAATAAAGTTGGTTAAGAAGATCTTGTTGCCCTTGTATCTGTTGTGGGCTTTCCATAGATATATAGGTTGCCATTAAGGGAACAAAATTTAGGACTAGACCTACCTGATCCAGATATTATATTTTATGATAATGAATGAAAATGTAAGGGCTGATCCTAGGTTCTTCAGAGTGGTGTCTTCACATACCCATTCCATAGCACATCTTCCTCATTTTCTTTGTTCTGCTCATCTTTACCATGAAGCAAGAATTGAGTTCTGCTCAAGTTTATTGGCTTATTATTATTTGGCTTTTGTTGTCATAATGCTTTGTGGATTACCTTGAAAATAGAGTGCAAATTACATTTTAGTTAAAGTTTAATTAATTAATTAGAATTGGTTGAGGCTTAGGATTACATACTTAACCATGGCCCCATCCCATCTTCTGTGCTAAGGTGATAGAATTCCCATTCCTGTTGGTTGTCAAATTTCTGCACTACAAAAACAATTTACAATAGCAAAATTTAGAGGACTGTCCATATCTTCTGAAAGAGTTGCTTCTCAACACACAGGAGCACATGCAAACTATTTCTCTTTGAATCATTCAAATAGTCATTTTCCCCGGGTTAACACAGTTGCACAGTAAGCCTATCTACTTATGTGGGCATGCACATTCACTGGCTAGCACTGAAGATGTTACCTAGCTGGGTAATGAAATGTTTGCAAGAAAACAACCAA